ATGGTTATGAAAAGTCAAACTTAGTGACACTAAACAAAGTGCTCTTGGCAGACACCCCAAGCTTATCCTTGTACATACTTCTTTTTAATATTTTCTCTTCTTTCTTTTTATGTTTGTAGGATGTTTTTGATGTGTTTGTTGAGTGTATTCAGGTCTATAAGTGTTCAGGAGTTGTCCAAAGAAGAAGGAATGGTGCCAAAGGGAAGGAAAAGACATGCTGCACCAAGTTAAATCCGGTCTTGGACACATCGAGCTCAGCATCAGCCATATGCACCTCGGTGTGGAAATTTTTCTTTAAGAAAGTTTAGCACTGGGGACAGCATTGAGCAAATGAACCTCAGTGTATACTTAACCAAAAAACATGAAGGTTTTACACCAGGAAGCACCTCGGAATGCTTAAGCTCGGTGTGCAATCCTTGAGGCGTATGGGTTTAACACCAGGGACAGCACCGGGGATATGATGGCCGGTGTAGAAACTCCCCAGACCGTGCAGCATAACACCTGGATCAGGACCTGGGAGATCAAACTCAGTGTAATTCTAGCCTAAAAGAATTCTTACCAACACCAGGGATCACACCGGGTAAAAGCAGCCCGGTGTAGAACTTTTTGTCCAAGAAGAATCCAGCACCGGGGATCACACCGGGGATATTATGGCTGGTGTAGAACACGGCTTGCGAAGAAGAAGACAGCACCAGGACAAACACTTGGGAGCTCAGTGTTGTTCGAACCACCCTTTTACCCAGCGACCAAAGGGTGTGCCTGCTCAAAGTCAACAAGAGACACCCATTCCCAGCTGTCTCCCACACCGACATAAAGATTTTGCCTTCTTCCCCGATCAGGCTTGCTTTCTTTCATTCCCTGAACTTCATTCCCTCATAACTTGTGCATTTCAAGTCGGTTTTTCGTGATTTTTGTTGCACTGAGCTCGGTTTTCATTCTTCTTTTTGCTCTTGAAAAAGTCTCTAGCTCATTTCACTTAATCCCAAGGTAATCGATCATGAAAATCATCTCTCTTGTTCTTGAACTGAATTGGTTTTGAAAAGAATTTTTCTTGAAGAAGTTTTTCTTGAAATCGGTTATTGCACTGTTAGAGGAACTTAGAACCTTGGGATTTAGGTTGAAAATGAGTTAGGAAGGAACCCCTGTGCCTAATTGCTGTTCTCGAGTTAAGTTTTGCATTTCTTGAGAAACTTGTCTTTGAGCAGTGATTTATGGTGCAAGAATTGTTCTGGGCTGATCCGATTTTTGAATTTGATGTGATAAATTGCTGTGAATTGATTTGGATGTTCTCTCATGCTAAAAATGTTTTCGAAAATTCACAATGACTTTACCATTTTCGATTCCATAAAATCGCACAAGTGATATTCTCTTGGCTTGAAAGTTCATTTCTTGTGTGCGGATTGTGTTTTCAGGAAGAATGGTGAAAGTCAGAGGATCTGATGAACCATAAAAGGTTAAGAAAGGTGCTAAGAAGGGCAAGCAGATGGTTGTTAGAAAGGGTGAGGCCTCAACTTCCAAGTCCCAAGGAAAAAGAGCTGAAAGTGAGGCAGCTAGCGATGATGTGAGAGCTGTTCAGGCAGCTGCTGGGAAAGGAAAAAAGACATAGAGCAAGAGGCCAAGGAAAAGCAAAGAACCATCTTTTGCTGATTACTTGAGGAAGCTGAGAGAGATAGAGATAAAGCCAACTTCGTTTCCTGATTGTGAACTCCTTGAGAAGCTTGGGATTTTGGAAGATGTGAGGACCATTACCCAAGTAGCTGGTCTTGGGAACTTGATTGACATGCCTCACCACGCCTACAGTGATTCCACAGCCCAATTCCTTGCCTCATTTCTTGTCACTTACCACAAAGATGAAGGGCATTGTTCCATAGACTTCAAGATTGGTGTGGAGCGATATTAGATGATTTTTGCTGAGATATATGAAGTCTTTGGGTTTGCCACTGTAAACAGGTCTGATATTGGTGAACCCTCTGCCACTAAAGAAGATGTGGAAGTACTTTGGAAGCTCTCAGCTAATGGAGTATATCTTGCTGGGATAAGCAAAGTTTCTAACTTGAGGAACCCAGCAATAAGAATGGCTCACAAGGTTGTAGATCAGAAATTCTTTGGAAAGAAAGAGTTTGGGTCTATGTCTGAGGAAGAGATGAGGATTGTGTAAATGGGGATGAAGGCTTTCCATTATTGGAGATGAGACAAAGCCTTCTATGTGATATACTCATATTTTACCATGTTTAGGATTGCATTTTTTGTCCAAATATTGAGTCTCATGCATAAATTTAGATAGTTTTGTTAGAGTTTGTATTTGGTTCTATCTTTGTTTAGGGATTGCATTAGGTCCTAGAGTGTCCTGAATTTTTTGAGTGTTCTCAGGTCATTTGGAGACTTTTGGGAGCAACTTGGAGCTGGGATCATGGAGGAACCCTCACCAGTGTACAGAAACTTGGATAAATGCTTTGGATCCGAGAACACCTCTACTTTGATTGCGTGAAACAAAGGACTTACACTGCGATTCAGCCTACGGTGTCCTCATCTATAGCAATGAGTATAGTTTCCGGAAAACTTAGAATCAGACGCTTTGGAGACGTGAGCTAGGAGATATCACAATCAGAAGGAACACATGTCTCGCAGGCCGATCAGGACTTACGCGATGCGCCTCAAAGAACCGGCAACACGGAAGCCTTTCCAACGTCACACGGGTTCGAGCCCTTCCAAAACGTTGGAGCTGAATGAGTCATCTAGTTCGTGGAGTTGACAGATCAAGGTTTGGACCATTGAGCAAGGAGTTATAAAGGATTTGGTGCAAGCGGTTTACATTCATATCGAAGAAATACCAACCAAAATCTGGTCGATATGACCTTGGAGCCTTGACGTTTTTGGCTGGCCTTTTGGGAGCTCAAAAAGCCAAACGATTGTCGAGGTGCTGCACGGACCGAATTCTACTCGGTATTGATCCCCTGAAGCAACTCTTTAAACTGCACCGAGACGCCACACTGAGAGAAGTCTGGTCGGTATTTTTTTTTTAAGCGTTTCTCAGAGCCACACCGAGGTCCTGCACCGACCACTTTCACCTCGATACATTCTCGATCCAAGGCCTTTTTGGGACCAATACCTAGTTTGTTCTAGGTTGGCCCCTCAAGGAACCCTACCTATATATATGTTTTAGGCATTATCCAACAGATTAAGGTTTATTCTCTCTAATTTCCTTGCCTCTTTTAGGAAAAGACTATTCCTTTGTAAGAGATATCATACTTTTTTGAGTTTTAATCAAGAGAAATCAAGGATCTTTTGAGTTTAAAGATGCAATCCATCATCATCTATCTTCTCCATCTTCATTTCCCATCATAAATGATCACTTACGATTGATTCTTAATGATCACAAAAGTATGATATCTCTTACAAAGGAAGAGTCTTTTCACAAAAGAGGCAAGGAAATTATTGAGTATAAATCAGATATCATACTTTTGTGAGTTTTAATCAAGAGAAATCAAGGATCTTTTGTGTTTAAAGCTGCAATCCATCATCATTTATCTTCTCCATCTTCATTTCCCATCCTTTTGTGAGTTTTAATCAAGAGAGATCAGAGATCTTTTGAGTTTAAAGCTGCAATCCATCATTATCTATCTCCTCCATCTTCATTTCCCATCATTAATCATGCCAATCTACTCTACTTGCAAAGGTTTAAGAGAGATTAGTATAATTAGTGAGTAGTTTGCTTAATGAGGTTCTAGATATGTAGGTTAGGGTGAAAAGTGTTAGATTAAGAGTGCTTAGGGCTACATCCATGTTTTCAATTCTCTAAATAGCTGATCTCTATGCTGGATCCTTGCACATCACTTGTTATCTACAATCTGGGTTTTTCATGCACTAAAGGTGATTGATGAAATTCCTGAAAGAGCTATATTAGAGGTTTATGCATTAATGCCATGATGATGTTTGTTATTTGCATAAATGATCACTTACTATTGATTCTTAATGCTGTCTTGTTGTTTGATCTCCAATGATGATGGGGTATGTGAAATGGCTTGATTTGTGTCTTGATGCTTGGGAAAGATTAAGGCTTGACTAGAATCCTACATCACTTAAATCATGTTTCATTATTTTCATTAGCATTTCTAGTTTAGCACCAATGCACCCTAGCCAGCTATCATGTCTAGAATCTCATGCTTCCATCATTTCATATTCATTCACTTGTTATTTGCTATTGCTTGTTTCTTGTTTTTATCACTTGGTAGTTTATTAATCTTGTTTAGTCCTTAGTTATTCACTTGTTTGAATCAAAACTCACTTGTTCGCTTGGATTAAGAAACTAACATCATGAACTAGTGTCTACCCACATATTTAGATTGATAATCCCTTTGTATTACAAAGACAAGGGATTGATAACCCCAACTAAAAGCCTAAAAACCTTAGTTATCAATTGGCGCTGTTGCCAAAGTGTGGTTTAGCATTAGTTCTTGATACTTTCTTGAGATCAAGCCTTTTTTGACCTTTTTGTTTTACTGATTAAACTCTTGAGTGCTGAGTTTCATGTTTATGTCACATAGACCCAGAACCAGGAGTAGGATTTGTGAAGCAGCTGAACCATTTATTGATAACATCCATTTGCTGGATAGAAGAGGAAGAAGAGAAAGGGTCAGAGCTGCTAATCAATAAGAAGATCATCTGGATCAGTTGGGTATAGAGCAACAGGCTCAAGAAGCTGAGCATCAAGCTCACTTAAATCAGGCTCAAACTGGGAGGAATTAGCAGCAAACGTTCATAAATCAAAACATGGCATAGAGAAATAAACGCCAAACTCAGGAGAATCAACAGCAAGCAAACAAGAATGAGCAGCAGGCTCACAACATTCCTCATCGTCAGCCACAGGCTCAAAGACGTCAAGAACACCAACCAATCTCTGTGGGAGCCAATGATACAGCCAATGCTCACCAGAACAGAGCTGATATTGTTTTTCCACCAGTGGAAAAAATAATTTCGAAGTCAAAGCATCACTGATTAATATGGTCCAAAACTCTAAGTTTCATGGACAGCTAATGGAAGACTCATTGGACCATATTGATCAGTTTGATAGAGTCTGCAACTTGACCAAGATAAATGGAGTCTCAGAAGATGGTTTTAAGCTGCGGTTGTTTCCATTCAGCTTGGGAGATAAAGCAAGACAATGGGAGAGGAATCTACCAGTTGGAAGCATTCAGACTTGGGAACAATGTAAAGAAGCTTTCCTCACCAAGTTCTTCTCCACAAGCATAACAGCAAAGCTTAGAAACCAGATCTCTAGTTTCATACAGCAAGCATGGGAGCGGTTCAGAACATATATCAATTAGTATCCACACCATGGGTTTTCTGAAACCTCTCTACTCTCCACACTCTATAGAGGAGCACTACCTATAATCAGGAACCAATTAGACACAACTTCCAATGGTAATTTCTTGGCAAAGGAGATTACAGCTGCTATGGAACTTGTGGAGAATCTGGCAATGTCTAATGACACATATGGTGAATATTATGACAGTATAAACAGATCAGATGGTTCAAGCTCAGAGCAAAAGCTTACTAGAGAAGTGAAGGAGCTGAGAAATGAACTTGACAAGCTTATGATGGTTTTTCAAAAATCAATCGATTATGTTGGTGAATTTGAAGAGTCTCTATGCTTTGAGAACATCAATGAAGATGGTTTAACCCAAGAAGAGTTGAATTACATTGGGAACCAGAACAGATACCAAAAATTCAACAACTTCAATGCTAACAACAACTTGTCTTATAAGAGCACTAATGTGGTAAACCCACAAGATCAAGTGTATCCTCCTCAGCAGAACCACCAAAGATTTGCCCGTAAGCCTCAGTTTGAAAGTTCATTTCAGCCAAAGCAACGGTTTTTGCAGCCTCAACAGCAGTATGGTCAGCAACAGCAGCCAAATCAGGGTACAAACTTCAGTTCTCAGCTGCAGCAGAGCAAGGAACCACCTGGGTTCAGTCAGCAGCAGTTTCAGCAGCCACTAGCGGTTCAACAGCAGCAGCAGATGGGTCCAGACCTTTGTGGAGTGCTACAGCAGTTGTTACAAGGACATCAAAAAGTTGAGAGTGGGTTTTTTGATCTGGGTTCAAGTATGCATCCATGCAGCAAAAGCTAAGAAAACTTAAGCAGAATCAAGCCTCCACTTCAAGAAGCCAAGGATTTCTACCTGGAATACCAGAACTAAATCCAAAGGAATATGCTAATGCCATCACCTTGAGAAGTGGCAAAGAGCTACCATGTCTAGAACACAGCAGAGTGCGCATTGAGTACAATAAGCAGGTTGGTGGGGAGGCAGCCCCAAGGGATGAGAAAGAGGATGAAACTTCAAAGAAAGGAAAAGCTAAAGAGGTGGAGAAGGAATCAGAACCTGAGAAACCTTATTTTTCACCACCTCCTTATCAGCCTAAACTTCCATTCCTTGGAAGGTTTAAGAAGCAACTCTTAGACAAGGCTAGAGCAGTTTTTGAAAAGCAGCTTAATGAGACCCCATTCACCATGCCTCTCATAGAAACATTCCTCATGATGCCAAAGTTGGGGAAATTTTTAAAAGATGCCATCCTCAACAAGACAAAGGAGCTGACAGGGATGGTTGTATTGACCCATGAATACAGTGCAATTATACAAAGGAGAGCAATCCCTAGAAAGCTATCAGATCCAGGGAGCTTCACACTTCCTTGTGCCATTGGTCCTTTGATGTTTGATGGTTGTTTACGTGACTTAGGAGCATCAGTGAGCTTGATGCCATTTTCACTAGCAAAGAAGTTGGGGTACAGAGTGTTCAAGCCAGAAAGAATCTCTCTAGTCTTGGCTGATAGGTCTGTTAGACTACCAGTTGGAATGCTTGAAGATCTACTAGTCAAGATAGGTGGCTTTGAGGTTCCAACAGACTTTGTGTTCTTGGAAATGGATGAGGAACCCATTGATCCTCTCATCTTAGGCAGACCATTCCTTGCCACTGCTAGTGCCATCATTGATGTAAGGGATGGCATGATTGAACTTCAGCTTGGATCAGAGAGACTCAAGTTTAATGTGAAAGAGATGATGAAGAAACTCACCATAGAAGGTCAAGTCTTCTACATAGAGACCATGGATGAGCTATCGGATGAGCTTTTGGAGGAGTTAAATCTTAAGGACCATCTCCAAATAGCTTTAACAAAGGAACATGGTGAGTATGGCCATCTAGAAGATGAGACCTTGGGGTTTATGAAGCTTCTTGACTCTCACAAACCAGAAGGAAACACTGCTTCTTTCATGGAGTTATATCACAGAGCTCTAGAGAAGCCATTAGACCGGTTTGGAAGCTCAGATTTGTCAAGGGAACATGTTCATATCAACCAGATTCAAGTCAGTATTCAACTCGGTGTAGAGGAGGTTCAGAGGCCAAAGATATATCGACCAGCCACACTGAGTGAAATGAAGTCGGCGTCTCAAGAATCTGTATAAGGATCCGAAGCTTTAACCCATACCAAGGTGAATTCAGTCGGTGTAGAAGCTGGGGGTGACAGAGTCCAAAAATCCGAAGAAATATCGACCTCCTACACCGAGCAGAATCAATTCGGTGTAAACATGGCGGCTAGCTTTGAAATGGGTTCTAAAGAGGGTAAAGACAAGGTTCAATGCCAAGAAAGCAAAACCAAAGAAGCCACAACAAAGGAGAATTCAAAAGAAGCTGATCAAAGGAGCTTCATGGAGGATTGGGATGAGTCTAAGGCACCTCAATTGGAGCTCAAACCTCTTCCTAAGGGGATAAGGTATGCATTCTTAGGTCTCAATGAGTCTTACCCTGTCATCATAAATGATAGGCTGTTAGATGATTAAGAGAATCTATTGTTAAATGAGTTGAGGAAGCATAGGAGAGAAATTGGTTACTCATTGGATGGGATAAAGGGTATCTCACCCAACCTATGCACTCATAGGATTCCCCTTGAAAAAGAATCTATGTCATCCATTGAGCACCAAAGGAGGCTCAATCCCAACTTGAAAGAAGTAGTGAAAAAGGAAATTCTTAAACTCCTAGAGGCTGGGATCATCTATCCTATCTCAGACTCTATATGGGTTTCACCAGTTAATGTGGTGCCCAAAAAGGGAGGAATGACAGTGATCAAAAATGAAAGGGATGAGCTGATAGCAACAAGAACCATCACAGGTCATAGGATGTGTATAGATTACAGAAAATTGAATGCAGCCTCTAGGAAGGCCATTTCCCTCTTCCTTTTATTGACCAAATGTTAGAAAGGCTTGCTAATCATCCCTTCTTTTGTTTTCTGGATGGTTACTATGGGTTCTTTCAAATCCCAATAGACTCAAGAGACTAGGAGAAGACCACATTTACCTGTCCCTATGGGACATTTGCTTATAGGCGCATGCCATTTGGACTGTGCAATGCTCCTGATACTTTCCAGCGCTGTATGATGTCCATATTTTTGGATCTGACTGAAGAGAAACTTGAGGTATTCATGGACGATATTTCAGTCTATGGATCCTCCTTCTCTGTTTGTCTTTGTAATCTTTCTCAGGTCCTACGGAGTTGTGAGGAGCACAGCTTGGTTCTCAATTGAGAGAAGTGCCATTTTATGGTTCAAGAGGGTATTGTTCTTGGGCACAAGGTTTCTGAGGCAGGAATAGAAGTGGACAGGGCTAAGGTGGAATTGATGGTGAACTTGCAGGCTCCAAACTCAGTCAAGGGAATAAGAAGCTTCCTAGGGCATGCCGGCTTCTATAGAAGGTTTATCAAATACTTTTCTAAGATAGCTAGGCCACTAACAAGGTGGCTTTGCAAGGAAGTTGAGTTTGTGTTTGATGATGAGTGCATGGAGGCCTTTCAAAAGGTCAAATAAGCTCTTGTTAGTGCACATATAGTCCAAGCTCCAATCTGGTCTCTACCCTTTGAAGTGATGACTGATGCTTCTAACTATGCATTTGGAGCAGTATTGGGTCAGAAGAAGGATAAGAAGCTTCATGTGATATACTATGCAAGTAGGAGTCTAGACTCAGCTAAGAAAAGTATGCTACAACTGAAAAAGAGATGCTTGCTATAGTGTTCGCTTTTGATAAGTTTATGAGCTATCTGGTTGGTTCAAAAGTGGTGGTCTACACAGACCATGCTGCACTTAGATATCTGATGACAAAGAAGGATGCAAAACCAAAGTTGTTGAGATGGGTACTTTTTTTTGCAAGAGTTTGATATGGAGGTTCAGGATAAGAAAGGAATAGAGAATGGTGCAGCTGATCACCTCTCAAGAGTAAGAGTGGATTCTGAGATCCCTCTTGATCACTCTTTACCTGAAGAACAACTTATGGTGCTCAAGAGCTACATGAAAGTTGAGGAGGTTGAAACCATTGGAGAAAACAGGTTACCATGGTTTGCTGACATAGTGAATTTCTTGTCATGTGGGGTTGAACCACCAGAGCTCAGTGGATATCAAAAGAAGAAGTTCTTTAAAGAAAATCAAGAAGTACTTCTGGGATGAGGCATATCTCTATGTGCTCAACAAGGATCATCTATACGGAAGATGTCTAGCTGAGGAAGAGGTCCAGCCAGTTTTACAAGAGTGTCATGGTTCAGTTTATGGTGGACACTTGGGAGCTTGTAAAACAGTGGTTAAGGTTTTGCAATCAGGTTTCTGGTGGCCTACTATGTTCAGGGATGCCCAAGGAATGGTCTCAAGTTGTGATTCATGTCAGAGGCAGGGCAGCATATCAAAGATGAGTGAGATGCCTCAAAACCCAATCTTGGAGGTTGAGATGTTTGACTGCTGGGGCATAGATTTCATGGGGCCATTCATCAATTCTTATGGGAACCAATACATCTTGGTGGCTGTTGATTATGTCTCCAAGTGGGTGGAGTCAATTGCTTGTCCAACCAATGATTCAAAGGTGGTGTGCAAGCTCTTTAAGAGTGTTATCTTCCACAGGTTTGGTGTCCCAAGAGTGGTGATCAGTGATGGAGGTAGCCACTTCATTAACAAGACCTTGGAAGGGCTGTTGAGGAAACATGGAGTCAAGCACAAGGTGGCAAGCCCTTATCACCCTCAGACTAGTGGTCAAGTGGAGGTTTCTAATAGACAAATCAAGGCCATCTTGGAGAGAACAGTGAGTAACTCAAGGAAGGGTTGGAGCAAGAAGTTAGATGATGTTCTTTGGGCCTATAGGAATGCTTTTAAGACACCTATTGGCACATCTCCCTTCAACCTTCTCTATGAAAAGAGCTGCCATTTACCAGTAGAGCGTGAGTACAAGGCTCTTTAGGATGTTAAGATGTTGAACTTTGACATTAAGACAGCCCAAGAGAAGAGGCTTCTTCAGTTACATGAGCTAGAGGAGATAAGACTCAATGCTTTTGAAAGTGCAAGGATTTACAAAGAAAAGACCAAGATCTTGCATGATCAGAAGATTCTTAAGAGGGAGATTCAAGGAAGGAGATCTTGTTCTCTTTTTTAACTCCAGGCTCAAACTCTTCCCTAGCAAGTATCAAGATGGTCAGGACCATTCAGAGTTCTAAAGGTTAGAAGCTATGGAGCATTAGTCTTGGAAGGTAAGGATGGCAAGGGTTTTGTGGTAAATGGACAAAGAGTCAAGCATTACCTGGTTTCAGAGAAGAGAGAGGAGGCTTCTACAGTTCCTCTTGATGATCCACCAACATGTTAAACAGCTTAGTGACATTAAACAAAGTGTTATTGGGAGACACCCCACGCTTATCTTTGTATATAGTTTCTTTTCTTGCTTTCTTTTGCTATTTTTAGGATGTTTTAATACTTTGTTCAAGTGTGTACAGGTTTCAGAGTGGTCCAAGTGCAGTTTTAAAAAGATTGGAGAAGAGAAAAGATGAAAAATAGGCTGAGGAATGCATTCATACCGACATGATTTCCCTTAGTGTATTTGCCCGGTGTAACAAGTTCAAAAAGCCGAAGAAATATCGACCAGTTACACCGAGCAAATGGAGGTCGGTGCAGTGCAAAAAGGGGCCAGGACTTGCCTCACACCAAGGTTATTTCACATGGTGCAAGAACTCGGTGCAGAAGGGGAAGAAACTTGAAAGAACACCAACCTCCCACACCGAGTAAATTCATGTCAATATGAGCTTGGTTCAGCCTACTGTCCAGCGGCCCAAAGGGTGGCTCGGTCAAAGTCAAAGACTGCAGCCATCTCCAGCTGTCTCCCACACTCCAAAAGAAGTCGTGGACCACACAAGACTAGGATTTTATCATCTTTTTCCTCTCATTTTTTGCGAAAACTCATCTCTCACCACCATTGTTGTTCATTCAAAAAGCTTGATTTCTTTTCTTGAGGATCGATTTTTCTGGTGATTTCTTTGCCTCCATTGGATTTCTTGCATCATTTGACCCAACTTCAAGGTACATCTTGCTGAAATAGCTTCTTAATCTCAAAAATCCAAACCGCTTCTCTTCTTGATTTTTCTTGAATAAATTTTTGTAAAATTGAGAATGCATTGCTTGAATCTGAGTTAGAACCTTGGAGTTTAGGTTGTGGGTAGCTAGGAATGAACTCACTTGTGTTCAATTGTTTCTTGAATCCTGATTTTAGACTCTCTTAGAACTTGTTGTTCTTGAGCTGAAATTTGGATTTTAGAAAATTATTTTGAAGTGAGAATCTCTTGGTGCTGCTTGGGATTGCTTAATATGATCTTGCTTGAATTTTTTCCATTGATTTCATTGCAAGCAAAAATCATTTTGAAAATTTCAAGAGATTATATCTCTAGAGACTCATTTTTTGCTTGAGAACTTGTTGAATCAGGTACCATGGCCAAAGGGAATCCTGTTTTGATGCCCAAAGTACTAAGGAGAGACAATGGAAAAGCAGTTTCTTCTGGTTCAGGGGAACAGTCTCAAGCGGTTGCTGCTGGTTCTAAAAGCATGGGGAAAGCCACAGCTTTAAGATCAAGATCTTCAGGGAAACAGAAAAGGGTTGAGAGGAGCCCAAGTGTGGAGTCTAGTGAGGAAGAGGATAAAGCAACTAAACCCCATCTTTACCACTCTCTTCCTTGGCACAGATAGCTGACTCCCATCTTTGGAGCAGTTACCTCACCTTAAACCAAAACCCCTTCTTTCAAGCCAATGTTTGTGTATGAATTATGAGGCCACCTTGGATCAAACTTAGCAAAACAGTGTTAGATTTAGAGCGACAAGGGTTAGGTTTCATGTAGATTAGTTACAACATCTAGGAACTACTAGGTCTAGGCTGTGAAATAAGTGTGGGGGAGAGGTTTCTTTGAGTGAGAGTTTTGAGAGAAAAGATTTTTGAGAGAGAAAAGAGAAAGAGTTGTGAATATGGGAGTGATGAGAGCTAAGGGTTTTGAAACAAAAGAAAAAAGTATTGGCTCTTGTGTTTTTAAAAGAAAAGAAAGCTCTAAGTGTTTTGAAAAGAGAAAGCTTCTAACCTCTAAGTGTAAAGAAAAGAAGCCAAAGGCTCATGTGTTTAAAAAA